GCAAGGTGTTTGCAAGCCTTTGTCCTAGTCAGGACTTTGTCCTAGTCAGGAGTTGCATATTTGGAATTGTGATTTGGCAGGTGGCAGTAGCAGTGAAGGCAGCATCCACAGCACTTGTAGGAAGACAGCCTTCTGTACCCAAAGATTTCCTGTTGCATGACAGCAGCATCCTGCCATCGTCATATCTGATAGTGTGCCTTAGCCCTCTGGTCACCTCTCACATCCCTCCCAGCTGCGGGAGTGGTGAAGAGGAGGATGATATCCCAAAATAAATTGCGCTTACAGGGAAGAACGTATCTCTGGTGAGTTAGCTCCCTTTCCCTACATCATTTCAGGGTGGAGGAGCAGATCTGCACAAGTGCAGCAGAACCCCTTGCAAAACACCTGCTGGGAGTTCGGAGACTCACAAGAATCTGCAAAAAATACTTGGAAGCAAGGGAAGAATCTGCATTACCACACATAAGTCCTGCAGGAGCGGCTTCCCCCTGCCATGGGCTGGCCCAGCGATGCTGTGCCAGAGACGCACCTTTGAGTTGTCCTATGTTCACTTTATTAAAAGCCTTACTGCATTTTGGGGATAGGCTGCCCGGGGCTGTGAGAGGGAGTGACTGGGAGCCTGCTTGCTCCTGGCATGCAGAGTGGAGGGTCGCTGCTGCTTTCTGATTTCTCCTTGCAGCAAGGCTGTGTCCAGGTGCTCTAGCTGAGGAAGAGGGCAGGGAGTGCTGTTGTTGCTGGAAGCAGCTGGAAGGTGGAACAGGGGCTCTCGTTTCAAATCCAGAGGGTGGGTGGAAGCAGCGTTTTCTTTCTGTTGGTGGAAGAGACTGCTTAAATTGGAGCTAATTTTCTGAAAGCCATTGTATTTCCATCATGAGCCAGGTGAGAGGCCTGTGAGGGTTAGGGAAAGGTGCCCATAGTTTTCACCTGAGTCTGATCAGGCCCTTTATAAAATGGGAAGTAAAAAAAAAAAAAAAAAAGGATTTGCCATTAGGAAATAAAACTATGCATCTAAGGAAAATTAGAGGTGATGGTTGAGTCCCTGAAGGAGAGGAGGCTGTGGTGGCAACGCAGCATCATTTCCACGCAATATTTATTTAGAAGAAATAATAATGTGTTTGAATTGTTAAATGTTCTATTTTTAAGATACCATTTATTTAAGAGTTGAAAAGCTCCACTTCCATGGAGACAGAGATCTCTTCTGTACCTGAAGGTCAAAGTCTGATTGCATTGTCCTTGTGTTTGGTTTTCTCCCTTCCATCTTGGTTCTCATTACAAACCTGTACACCTTAAGCTTATTTTGGGGACACGTGTCCCTCTTGTACATAACCTCTGCCCTGTGTGCGACGGAGTGTCCGACATGGTCAATTCGCTCATGTGGGTAATAAACAATACATGAAGTAGCCCATTTGTTGCGAGTCGTTGCCAGAGTCCTCGTGTTCTCAGCTTCTGGGAGAGGAATTGCTGTCTGCCCTCTGCTTTGTTTGCTGGTGGTGAATGTCTGTGCTCCCAACAAGAGCGATTTCATGTCTCCGCACTGCTGGGATACGTGTTTAATTCAGGTCTTTTCTGCAGTACACTTTGCACCTATCATGTTTGCTGCTAATGGATGTGGTTTTTAATGTAGCAGCTGAAGCGTTCAGAATACCGGATCCTGTTTTAAATGCTTGCTGGGTTTGTTGCTGTTACAGATAGTGTGCGTGGAAACAGATTTTTTTTAGGTCAATGCACTTTTTCACTGCACACTTAAAATCCTAAGGGCAAAATTCAAATTGGAATATGTAAAAGAAACAGCCAGTTAGACAAAACCTCAGATGTGAAGCACCCAGTGCATGTTTCAGCTGTGGATGAGGTGAGAGGAGCTTGATGTCACATTTGCAAACATGGTTTGCTGGAAGCAATTGGTGCTTGGAGCAGGATGGAGCTGGGTGGTTTGGTTGTTTATTGAACCATTGTTTACCAAACCTGACTTTGCAGCCATGTGTATTTTATTTTGGGATTTGTTATCTATTCTGGATTAGCTGTCTTTCTCTCTTGGGCTTTGCTTACCCTTTTCAGAGGCAACAGCTTTTGGCAAAGCAGCTGCATGAAAGTTGATTGTGATCTCACTTGGATCTCTCTCTGGCAGCTCATGCTTGCTTCATATTAATTGCTCTGTTAATAATCAAAATCAACAGCGTTTCTGGGCCACTGTCAGCATTTCTGAATGTGTTTCCAAAAATTACTATTCCCGACCCAAGGGTTTGTGTGCACATCTGCAACGTGCTGCCGCTGTTGCTCTGGGGCGTGCTGTGTTGAGGCACAAAGCCTCTGGAAGTCTTGTGGGGCTTCTTTCCTCTCCCCCAGCGTTCCTGAGGTCAGGCTTTTCTTTGGGTCCAGCGCTTTGCATCAGAATGCTTCTGTTCAACCATGCTTCTGTTCAGCCGGGCTTGATGGCTTTGTTCTGTTCCACTCCCACATTTGAGAGGCATTCCTAGGAGCCGGTGTGGCCCAGCACCGTTTGGCACTCCTGCTGCTCAGAACAGAGCTGCTGAGGATGGAGAGAGGATTTCAAATGTCACCGCTGTGATTCAATTTTTTTTTTTAACCCTATCTTGCTCAACATTTTAAAGTGCATGTGAAACGCCACAATTCTCAGTGGAGATGTCCTTAAGGTAAGGTCTGAACGTTGCTGAGCACTGCCTGCCAGGAGCCGGGCCGAGAGAAGGGCACAGGGGATCCGTGACACAGCTTGGGGAAAGGAAAACAAGGTAAAGTTCCCTCCAGAAAAATTGTGTCACAGATCTTTTTGTCTGTCTTCTGTGCTGGGGGATGAACTGCTGTGTGTGCGTGTTTCTGGATATATAAAGACAAGAGTTTATATATAATTAAAACAAACGAATTTTGACTTGCTTGTTTTTAAATTCTTCCAGTGAACGAGATGGTGGTGCAATCTCTAATGGCAAAATGGCAAACAAGCTGCCGGGGGGGTGGAATTTCTTGTTTCAGCAATCCAGAGCTGAGTGACCACAGCTTCAGCTCTCATCCCCTGAACACTTCCCTGGGGGCACCCATGTGTGGCTGTGGCTGCTGCCTCTGCCTCGCTGTGGCCTTTGGGAGGAATAGCAGCATGGAACACCCCATCTTGCAGGACTGAACGTCGACTCCGAGATCCAACGTCCTGATGGCCTGCATCCCTAAGCATTGCTTCTGCAAACATCGACGCACACTTCCACATCACATCTCTCTTGGTGAGAGGTGGGCATGTTTTACTGGGCCATACGCCCTCAGCTTTGACCTTTGTTCAGCAAGAATTTTAACAAAGGTTAATTAATTAATGTTAGTTAACCTGCTAACAGACAGCTGACAGCAGCAGGCTGGCCCTACGGGCTTGAGATCACAGCACTGGGTTGGGACTGAGGGCTGCTGCACAGCTGTGTAGCCTCAGCTGTAAGCATTTAAGCAGCACAGATTCCTGCCCACATCACATCTCTTTTTTCCTTTGTAATTGCCTCTTTTTCCCCTCTGACGGGCTCTGATGGCACGCTGGCTTGCCTCTCTGAAGCCTGCACAGCACAGATGTGTCAGAAGGAGCAGCCATTGGGTGGGGGTAGCTATCAGAGATTTGAGGTTCAGACCAGCAGGGGCCTGTCTACGTGGATGCTGTTTGTCTGCATCTGACTGCAATCAGATGGCTGCAGTTTTGCAGCAGCCTGTGGACTTGATTTTGGTGCCAAAACAGCTTTCAAATTGCAAGCCAAGGAACTGCATCCAAAAACGCTGTGAGGAGACAGCAGCATCGAGCTTGATGACAGAGCCAGGAAAGAATTACAAATGTTAGTTTAATCTCCTGGCTAGGAATGCTGTACTTTCTGCCAGCTCCAGTCAAGAAACCATGCAAAGGTTTAGAAAACAAATACAGATGTGGCAGAAGCAGCCAGCAAAACATAGTGGAGCATCTGGAATAAAGTACTTGGGTTTGCAGCACATGGGGCTGCAGTGACACAAAGATTTGTTTTACAAGTCAATTCAACCTAAATGAAAATACAAGGCTTCATTTCATAGAATCACAAAACCACAGCATGGCTTGGGTTGGAAAGAACCTTAAAACCCACCCAGCTCCTGTCACTGAAGGCACAGACATTTGCTGCTCTCCTATCACCTGAACAAGGCAGAAACTTGGGGTTGCGGTCACAGACAACTATCAGTCCCTGCTCTGTACATGCTTGGGCAAGAACAGGATGCTGAGGTCTTTCCAGCCAGATGAGACCTTGCAGTCAAGGTCTGTGACTGTGTCGCCTTTGCACAGAGCAGTGTTCAGTTCCTGTTTTAGTCCTTGATCTAAGTATTGCTTTTTTTTTCCATTCTTCCTGCTGCTGATTGAAAGCTTCAACTGCACTACCTGTTTTGAGATTTTTTTGGCTGAATAATCCTAAGGACCTAGGATCTCAACTGTTACCCCACATTTCTTACTGGATCCTGAAGCTGGGCTTAGCAGCTAGACTTGCACTTAAAGCTCTCAACAGAACACTGCAAGTTCTTTTGTGTGTGTCCCTTTCCTGTGACAAAAGGGATTCAGAGACCACGGAAGCCTTCAGCTGTTACTGTGGTATTGATTTCTCCACAAACGGAACCTTTTAGAGAGTCATTACTACAGATTTTATTAGGGATAAAAGAATGTCATATTCCAGTCACTATGCTCAAGCTTTGAGAGTCTTTTCAGCTTTCTAACAAGTGCATGGGGCTGAGGGACCACTCGACAGGCAGGTCCAGGATGAGTGCTGCCATCTCCTCCACAGCCAGCAGTCCCACAGCAGGTGGGCAGTTCACATCTGTATCCAGTTAGCCCAGGGAGAACCTGAAAAGCTCTGTTTCAAAGCTCTTTTATGATTAGGAAATGTTTTAAGATTGCGTTCCTGATAATAAGTTAGTTATGTTAATAAATGGCACTCCAGTCCTTCAGGAAACACACAGCAGGGCTGTCAGGTGAGGCTCAGTGATGCTGCCCACTGCTCACTCCTCACCTGTCCACGCCTGGTTTGCAGTTCATTGAGTCCCTGCAAGAGCTGCCTCAAATGGCTCTTTAATTACAGCTCTCAGCAGGTAAGTAAAACCTCCTGTAAGTCACACCGCTGTCCCACGTTTTCACAGGTTCTTCTATACTGCTATTGTCAGAAAGCCACCAAAAGCTTAAAAGTCACAGAAGGTAACATTTTCACAAGGAAACCATACTGTGTTTTTTAACCTACCACACAAACCACCATATTTAAAAACTCTGCAGTGCTTCTGTATGATTGTTCCCACGGAATTTGAAGGAGGCAGCTGAGTTCACATGCAGTCAACTACATTGCTGGATCCTTGGCCCACATCACGGATCTGGCTGCTGAGGCAGGCGCACACAGCAACGCCTGCCCCAGCTCTGCAGTGCGACACAGAGCCAACGAGTTCCCACCTGGAGAACAGTGCAAAGGAGAAGACAAGTAAGTCTGTGTCCTTTCAGAGCAAGCTAAAGTATTTATTTCTGAAATTCTATTATAGAACCTAGCTATTAAGTGTATAAAAATATACTTTGTTCATTTATTCTCATTACTTCTCCACTAAGGTTAGTAGAAGATCAGATTGGAACCTCCACAGGAACACAGATTCTCACTGAATAAAGATAACAGGATGAGGGACGGCCGGGAGGAGGAAGAGGGAGGAGGATGTGCTTAATTATTTCAAGAAGAACCCAGTGACATGAGCAGCACTCCCACATCCCTTATGTGAGTATCACTCAGTTACTGTACACTGCTGCTGTTACGCTGAGTTCCATATAGGCGGATATGATTGCTTTTTTAGGCCAAACAAAAAAGAGAATTACCTGTTAACTATGGGATCAAATGCTTCCACAGTATTCAGATACGCATTGCCGTTGTGACCTCCAACTGCAAAAATTCTGCCCATCAGTGTTGCGATGCCAACTCCCCCCCTTGGGGTTGTGAGCTCTGCGACGTACTCCCATTTGTCACTGCGTGGGTCAAAGCGTTCCACGGAGCTCAGTGGAGAGTTGTCATCGAAGCCACCTGCAAAGAGTCACCATATATTGCTATCTGGCCACTCCCAGTGGTGGTGATTGCCCAGATGTGCATTACAGGGCTTTTCTTAGCATGCAGTGGGTTAGTACCCTGGGTCTACGTTTTTAACCAAATCTGAAAGCCACCTGAAAATTAATCCAACAGCTCTCTCCACTGTCGACATGCTTTCTTGCAGTGCTTTCAAAACAAGCCACTGCTGAAAACCAAAGCAGAAAACAAATCCTTGAATGACTTCAGTAACGTGTTCCCATTGGTGTGCGCAAGCTAAACTTCTTATTTCCTGGCTACCACTCTTGCGTTCAAGCATGTCCTCATTGTGCTTTCTTCCCTTGCACAGGAGCACATCATACAGGACAGCTCTGTCCAACACAGAGCCCTGGCCTACTCACCAACAACATACAGGCAACCATGGAGCTCACTGACGCCGTTGCCGGCTCTTCGCTGGCCCATCTCTTTCACTTCCATCCACTTGTCCAAATGGGGATCGTATTTCTCCACGCTGGAAAGAGACGCTATGCCATCGTTGCCACCCACAGCGTAGACGTGGTTCTGAAAAAGTTGCATAGGAGGAAAGTTTGTTCAGAAAACTTACGTAATATTTGAAAAGCAGCCCTGGATCCTGGCCCTGACCTGAGAGGAAACAAACTCACCATGAGGGCTACGGAGCCAACTCCCCCCCGGGGCGTGTTCATGGGGGCTATCGCACTCCACCGATCGGACTCGACGTCGTACCTTTCCACATCACTGAAGCACGTGTTGTCATCCAGACCTCCTATTGCGTAAATGGGGCCCCCGAGGGAAGCAAGAGCAATTCCTCTCCTAAGAGAACCACAGAATCAGTGCCTCAGTGCATATCCTTAAAGGGGATGGGAAAGACATCAGGTGCAACGTTAATTGACCGGTAAGACTTTCAAAGTAATGGGAAAAAAGTAATGAAGCAATGGGTTTGTAACACTGATCCGTAAGTGTGACCGACCCTCTGCACACCCATGGCAGTGTTGCATCATTGTCCAAAAAGTCCTTCTAGTGTTCGCAGCATCCCATTAGTGTTTTACCTTCACCTCAGTTTCAGCTGTATGTCCTGGTCATCCACAAACAGCACTACTGCAGCTAGAATATGTTTAGACTGCAAAAAGAGAAGCTCTGGTTTGAAAAAGAAAGGAGGAAAAAAAAGCAGGAGGGCATGGAAAATATTGTTTCAACTGCATGTCAGCAGAGGTCCAAACCTTCTTTTCAAGCATTTGGATATTTGAGGTTTTCTCAGTTATTGGATTGCTATTTTTTGGTACTGAATCTTCCATCTCTGATCTTATTTGATGTATCTGCTGGTTTTAGCTTTGTTGGTATAGCTGCTCCTATGGCTTGGGAATTAATTTTCCAGGGGTGATAAATACGCTCCAAAAGACAAACCTGTGCTTGAACTAGATCACTGAATTCTGATTTTTATTAAGTGCACGTTGAAATAAGTGGAGATTTTTTTGTGAGATCTATCCGTACTCAAAGTGCAGTCAGTACAGTGAAATAAAATGTATTCTCATTAGAGAAATTATTGAGAAAATCCTCGTGTTACTGCACAGAGTGTAAGGTAACGTGCAGTTTTCTCTCCAGAAGGGGTTCTGGGACCACCTCCTTTTGCTGGAGAAGCAGGGTGTGGGCAAGGCTCTGCCCAGCTTCCCGAGTAAGAAATGTCATAGAAATCCAAAACTGAACCTTGCCAGAAGGAAGACGTTCCTTGGCTGTGAAGCATTTTACTGCATACATGCTGGTGGAACTATCATTGTGTAAAAGAGATAAAAAACCACAAAACCACTTAACCAGTTTCTGAATCTTTATCTGTTATCAGAACGTAAGCACAGTTGCAATGGAAAAGCTTCTCTTCATTTCTGAAGCCAGCCATCCAACAAAAAACCCCAAAAAATGGCTGAGAGTGGCATTAGAAAGCAAAAAAGCATAACCCATGTTAGCAGCCAGGGCTTCTCCCTCGAGAGGGGGATTTTGTAGTTCTGCACTGAAATACTCAGTATATTACACACAACTTTGTGTTTGTGCAAATCACAGAATCATAGAATCATCACAAATATGTGATATATGCAAGCGTATGATGCAGATTTTTGTTTGCTCTGCAGAAGATAAGCATAGTATTTAAGTCACAACATAGAAAAAAAATCCTAAAAATAGCAAAGTCCGGAAACTTGTATAAAGGCAGAACAAACAGGTTTTCAGCAGTAGCAAGAATGATGTATCATGGAGTAGGACTTAAACTTTGTACCATGCTGGATCATGACACACATACCTCTTTGTGTTCATTGATGCTTTAATCATCCATTTGTTTGTGAGAGGATCAAACACTTCCATGCTTCCTAAATGTTCATTTCCATCATGTCCACCCACTGCATAAACTCTACCTGAAAGGGCATACGCATATTTGGATACGGAGGTTGCTTGGTAACGTTTCAGTTTTCCTTTAATGTGTGGGGCAACAAGCCCAAATGCAGGGGTCATGTTTTTAAAGGTTTTCAGTACCAGGATTTTATTAAGGAAGGACTTTGTACTTTTACATGCTCTAAGCAATCAGAGATCTGTTTTATCACAGATTTTACACAAATCTTGAGATACGCAAACGGGGAATCTTCCCATAACTCAAGTGGTGCAGGCCGGGTCAATTTCAGATGTTTACCTCAGGCCCTCCACAATTTTTATAGGGAAAGATTTCCACTCTTCTGCAGCAACGCAGGGGCTACCGTGGACAGAGGGGAGTTGCATCATGGATATCAAGGTGCCATGGCCTGGCAGAAGTTGTGGACCCAAAAATAAAGGGTGGTCTGTCCTCGCAGTCTTACTGACTGGTCTGTACGGATTTAAATGCGAAGGAAGCTCATATGAGTACTGGCAAGCTCTGGGTTACCCTGCTGTGCAACTCCATTTCTTTATGAATGTTCTGAAAAAGGTTACATCACTTAAGGCATCAGGCTGTGTGCAGTTGGCAGTAATGGGTTTCCAGTAAGCATGCTCTCAGATATTGTTTTAGAATTGTTTCCTCTTCATGGGGAATAAGCTTTATGACAATGAAGAATATTCAACTGATAAGCCAAGCAACTCTTTTGAACAAGGCTGCCCAAGTAGGGTTACTGACCTCCCACAGAGATTACACCCACGTGTCTTCTCCTGCTGTTCATTTCAGGGCCGAAGAACCAGCTGTTCTTATTTATAGAGTAACACTCAATGCTGCGAAATGGGTCACCTGATCCTCCTCTGCCACCGACACAGAACAGCACACCTGGAGGAGACAAAGGAGGTTTCCAGAGAGCTGGCAGAGAAAATAGAGATAAAATTCTACAGCAGAATAGATGGTAAACTACATACTTCAAGAGAAGCCATATTTCACTTCAAGGGACGCAGTAATTGCCCTGTATATGGGATGATGGACTTTGGCATTTGTTTGGCATGCTTTTAGGGCAATTAAAATCTACTCTCTTGTAAAAGCAAAGTGTATTTTAAACAGGCTTTTTTATGATTTGCTTAGGGAGAGAAACTGACTGCTACATCTTAAGTGAACATAAAAATTAGAATTTGCAGTCTAACATGCATCACTTGCTTTTGGTGTTGGCTAAGCACAATTTAACAGCTAGCTCAACCTTCTGGCACCAAGAGGTGTATGTCCACTGGTTTCTGTACAGCTTTCTGCTTACTGCCTGCACATAATGCTTTTAACAGCTCTAGCCAATCAGATTAAATGCTGCTCTAAACAAAGAAACTGCCAAAATTCTGTACAGAAAGTGCAGCCCATAACCTAATCACCAGAGGGACATAATGGCTTTCCCAGTTACGCATTAACTTCCACCAAGCTGTCTAGTCCTATGCAGACGCGCTGCCTTTTCTCCACACCACTCCATACTGGATAATCAGACACACATTTAATTACCAGCAGTCTGCTTCCTTGGTGTTGTGCGAATGGAGTATTCAAAGTCTGGCACTGCCCTGCTGCTCAGGTGAAGGTGGTAGTTTCTTGCTTCATCCAGCAAATCCCTACATTTTAGATTCTGCTTGACAATCTCTTCCTTTGCCACAACACCCATAAGGAAACAAATGGGCAAGAGAGGCAGTCGTACCTGACAGAAATGAACACAGTTGGAGTAACTGGCTAAACTGAACTGGCCATTCACAGTGACGTACACATAAAGGACTGCAACTTGCAAGCCAACTGTCAGCCCCACACTCTTCAGGAAGAAGAGCAGCTTTTGTTTTCTTTTCCAGACTAACCCTAATACAAAGGGTTATTTTTGGTGACAATTATTTGCCACGACCATTTGTGATTGTAGGCAAGTGCCTTTGCAGTGGAGGAAGGAGAAAGGCAGCTGCCCATACCAGGGGGGCGTGAGCACTTCCTTCCCAAGCCAGAAACAGTCCAGTCTGCAGTTCTACTGGGATAGCACATTGCAGATTAGTGTGGTAATGGCAAGGCAGAATGGAAACCCTGTAAGGTGAACTAAGTGTCTGTTAAGGAGGTATTTCTGGTGCAGGAACACCATTCTCTAAGGAGGGCTTGCCAGACCTCGCGATAAAATGAAACAACCAGCTACAGCTAATTGCCAAAGTCTGGAGGGAGCAGAGGACAGACTGGGTGGCAGAGAGGACTACAAGGCAGTAAGTACAGTCTTTTCAAACATAAACATATAAAATCTTGGCATCGGGTTCACATTGGAATATAACAACAGGAGAAGGTTCAAGCTGTTGAAAAGATTAATGTGAAAATAGTGGGACGACACAGGACATAAAGGAGAGAGAGCTGTAAGGATGTAACTGTACTGGCAGATGTCGATACAGCGAGGTTGTTACTGCATAGACAGACTTCAGTTTTCCTAACGGCCATTATTACCAAGGTGTTTCCTCAAATTCTTCTATCCTTCCTTAGAAGAGATGGTGGTCAGGCACGATGGCAAGGCTGCCTGGGTGAGACCACTACCAGCAGCCACTGCCTGGAGCAATCCCAAGGACAGAGCAGATCTGAAGTGAGATCAGCCTCAAAAAAACACTTTGAAACATCCCTCCCATAGGAATTTATTTCTGCAAACCTTTCGTTTGTCCTTTCGGGAGAAGCAATGAGGAATATAAATGACAATTGAAGTGGGGTGTCAAAAGGAAGGCCAGCAAGTGGGACAGGTCTGGAAGGTGGCAAACTGAAGTAAAGCAGTGTCTTGCTTTCAATGAGCTCCCAGGTAACTCAGCAAGGTGAAGGACAAACCCAGCATCTCAGGAGCTTCTCAGAGAAGCAGAACAGTGCTGTTACACAAGTGTCCTTGCCTCTCCCTTGCAATTCTTCCTAAACCACTTGGGTTCAACACTGTTTCTTCATTTTGTTTGGCACTGTTTTATTTGAGGCTGACTCAAAGCACTGCCACTGCCTTGCTAATAGACTCGGGAGGTTAAGGATGGATGAAGAACTCCAGGCTGATGAAAATTCAGAACCTTATAACAGGAAAGCCCCTAAGAGTGACATCCACTGTTAGGAAGCCTAGTCCTGCTTTCTGCTAGGAATAACATTGTATTCAACTCTAGGCTCTACACATCTTGCTAAACAGCCCTTATTTACAGTAAGGGTTTTACTTTTTCAGTGCTTTGCTCCAGATTTTTTGCACCAAAAACTGAACTGTTTAAACTGAAACTGTTTAAACAGTTGTGGCCTTTTACAGGAAAAATTAAAAATGCTGTGTCAAGACAAGAACAGCACCATGTTAGCAGACCTCCTGTTACTCCCACGATGCAAATACAATGAATGCAGCATATTCCCAGTGCAGCATAACTCCACTGTCCCTGGAGTTCAGGGACAGCTGTGAGACCCCCAGCTGCTCCCATTTACTATGATGCATGTGGCACTCTGCAGCACAAAACGTGTTCCTCTTCCTCCTCAGGGCAGATTCCTATCTCAAATGCTTGATTTTAAGCTTCCATAATCAGCATGTGCAGAGCTTAATTGTAACAGTCCACGTTTTGACAGGAAGGACTCTGGGTGTTCATCCAAGTGACCCTGTGATGCCATTACAGGTTTCTCTCAGCAATGAACGCTTAACAAACCTAGGGGATTAAACTGCACACTCCTTTCGGAGCCTACAGGTAATCAGCAGTACTTCCCTAGCTTTAAAGGGTCTGCAAAATCTTGGCCTTTTGTTATTTATGTATACAAACATTCTTGAAGTAGCATCACTTGGGGACTTATCCCTAGCCATCTAACCCTTCAATGCCCTTTCAATGGCTTTGTTCTCCTTTCTAAGTACAAACGCTTACCAGCAAGGGAAATTACATATGGGCTGTAGTAACATCGAGCCACATGCAGCAACAGCTCTGTGTTCTCTACCTCCCCGCATGTAAAACTAAGGATATTGTGCTGTGGCACAGATGTGGCTTTTTGTTGATTTCCCCTTCCTCCCTCTGCTGATGACCTTACAGCAAATAATCTTTTTCTTGACAGAAACCGAGTAACATAACTTGGTGCTGATATTCCCAAGGCCCAACCTGCTTGCACTGTCAATAACCGTGAATACAAGACGAAGCACCAACTGCTATAAACATTTTTCTTCTTAAAATCCTCCTCAGTAAAAGCAGCTTACACAGAACCAAATCAGTGATGCCTGCCCTACCTGTGCGAGAATTTCATCCAGCCACGTGGCATGATGCTGCGGATTGGCTAGCAGCCACTTGATAGCAGCACTGTAAACCTGCTTTTCGTTTTCAATGTTCAGGTCGCTGGAGGACAACAGTTTATGGAGGTGCTGAGGTGAGACACTCACAAAGTCTTCACATTCCACCACCTCAGTGAAATGTTCACAAGCGTACTGGTCGGCCATGTCCATCAGGTCAATGCGGTTGTGGCTCTCTGCAAATGACCTGACTGCCAGGCAGTTGGAGGGATGGAAGTGCAGCTTCATGTATTCGCAGCACGCCTTTGCTACCAGTTCCACCTGAAGAATGCAAGCAGCATACAGGAGTGGCTGGACATTATCCACTGTCAGCGTCAGCCGGGAGGAGTAGACAAACTTCACGAGGTCTTCTATCGCATCGCCATCAAAGTCCCTGATCTCAATCAACGTCTGCTTGGCTTCAGCCATTTCGGAAAGAAACATGGCTCTGAAGTAAGGTATAACACACGCCAGCACCAGTTTGTGGCAGGAGATGAGCTTTGTACCAACCTGAGAAAAAGAGAACAAAACTGTTTAACTGAAACGTTAGTTTCAGTAATTTTCTTCCAGCTACAAGAGACAGCTAAGCTGGAAAGGTAGACTTCTGGGCCCAATATACATTGAGCTTCTGTATTTTGCTGAAACAAATGAACTCTGTCTCCCTCACACTGCTGACGTTAGACCAGTACATCCCAAGCAGATTTCACCTGTAACCTGACCACCAGAGTAGGACAAGGCTGTAGCAGAAAGAAGCAGTACTAAGAAACTAAGAAATACTTAATGTTTGTAGTTGCTGGCAGCCACAGCTGCAAATGGTAGTTACAAATTTCCTGTGATCATGACGTAAGTAATAAAAAGCTGAGCTGAAAAGAATGCATTTAAAATAACACTGTGCAAGAATAACAAAACTGGTTTCCTCCTTTTTGTTTCCTCTTTGATCAGTTGTAGAACAATGTGATTGAGGGTTTTTTATTTCCCAGGAGAACACTGAAAGTTAGATTTGTTACAGAAATCCTGTTTGCCCACAAAAGATCTAGCACAGAAACACAGAATGCAAAACTACGGATAAAATTTGGGATCAAAGTGTATGAACAGAGAGGCTGCAAGGAGCTGGAAGCACACAGAAATCACATAGTAGTAAATAAATCAACCATGAGAACTTCCTTGCAGGACAAACTGGGTGAGGTGAGTCATGTACTTGCTCTCTTGGATTGTCAGTATCTTAATTGTCTACGTTTTAGTTGTGACCTTCGTAAATGATGAGAAATCTAAGAGCTTATCTAGAAATGCCTCAAGGATTCTGTTGCTTCCATACCCCTGCGCAAACTCACTGCCATCTCCAACGCATTTATAACTTAGTCTTCAGATTGTTAAACACAATGAATGCGGGTGGTCTTTGTCACCTTCAGTGTAACATCGCAGAGCTCTCCAGCCTCAAAGAAGTGAAGAAGAGAGCTGTGGAAATCTTTCCAAGCCTCGTTTGCTTCAAATACAAAGATATCATCTTCACCATCACCGCTGGAAGATCGAGTTTGCTGCTGCTGTGGCCGCCTTTTTCCCTTCACTGGATGTTGTTTTGCCTGCTCTGGGACCATGGATTCTGAAGCCATTGGTTGTTTCGTCTTTTGCAGCGTGAACTGTCAAATATTCCCACCAAGACAAAGTCCAGCCCATGAGGAGTCAGTCCTAAAATGTAGCTAAGTTCTTTTCATCTTCCTATCTAAAAGCACACACACAAAAAAAAAAAAGACAGAGGAGATATCAAATACTGTCAGTATCCACCATCAGATTACATTCTAAAATTACTACCTCTGATGTTATTCAGGGGAGCGGGAAGAGGGAGAGGGGAAAAGAGACCCACAGCAAATCATATGCAGGCACCTTTGGGAAAAGCCTTTATGAACTTGCTCCCCACAGTTGTTGAAAAAAGATATGAAGGAGGAAAGGCAGTGACGTGTCCTCTGCCATTCCTCACCGAACATCTGTGGATGGCAGATGAGCAGAATGCCCACGGATCCCAGGCAGATGGGCTTCTCTCCTCATCTCATCATGGCTGCCAGAGACAGAGTGCTGATTTGACCCCGACAGGTATGTTTGCACATAACTTGTTACTCAGTTTTCCTCAATCTCAACAGCTAGAGCAATCCCAAAGTATTATCTTGGAGCAATCCCAAAGTATTATCTGTATTCATGCGTATGTAAGCAGTATATAAAAATAAAACCACTATAACATTGTTTCAACAAGAGTGAAAGAGTAAAGGAATTTATGTTTAAGAAAAAATCCTGGAATGAAAATGATTTCATTTTACTCAATATTAGCCCAAAGATGGATGTTTAAAGCATGAAAATGAGCGTCCAGCAAAAGTCTGTCACTGCTAGCTTTTATTTTAGCTCAGCCTATCATAGCTGAAGATTATTTTGCTGTTTAAGATTCATGCAGTTCTGACAAAGGAGTTGTGGTTGTTCTGCTATCACAGCTTTCCCAGGATTGAAAGACACATCTGGGATGCCACAGAAAATGGAGAGAAGGTTTACTTTGGCTTCTGTCACACAGATACTCTTTCTAATACTGTGACCTTCAGCCTGGCTAAGTTTGAAGTCCACCTTTTTATTTGTAGATAAAACTCAAGCAGTAGGGAAGAGCACATAGTTTTCCAGCTTGATAACACATCTGAAGTTTCAGCTCTGTGTGTCTAACACCCATGACAATTTGCATCCCATTAAGTCAATAAGACTTAGGCTGTACATCCACATGCTTTGTGGAAGATGGTAAAGCCCACAAAAAAAATATGAAATACTACTTGAAAGCATGAAGTTACTGATTCAAGTTACAAGCTACTGGAGTTCTGTTATATTCTGGCAAAGGAGACCAACAGATTTGAAGGGTTAAAAGACAAACACAAAGAGAAGATTGAGTAGTATGTTCCTCTATTATATTGGGATACCTTTTGTTTTGGTGTTTGCTG